TAAGACAAAACTATAAATTCTGTGTGATCCAACCAATGCATCTGAGAAAAATAGAGTTACAAGTATCAGCTGAGAGCAGGGCCGGCTCTGGCTTTTTTGCCGCCCCCAGCAAAAAAAAACAAAACCTGCGGCGCGGCCGGAGCGGCAAAGCAGGGAAAAAAAAAAACCTGCGGGGCGGCTGGAGCCAGGTTGCAGAGGGACTCCCTGCGCTGCAGACGTGCCCCGGCTAGCGGGGGGGAGAGGGGGGAGAGAGAGAAGGGGGGCGACCAGGGCTTCAGCGGGGCGCTCGCCACGCGGCCCCAACCGCCGCATCGCCTGCCAGGAGGGCTCCGCGCCGCTCTGGTCGGCGGGGAGGGAAAGATGCGGGCTTGCTACAGACCTGGCACCGGTTGGGGCAGACGGAGCACGCAGCCTGCTTCCAGCAGGGCGCTCCCCTCCTCCGTGCCGCCGCCCCCTACAGGGCGGCCGGATCGGCGAACCAAAAAAAAAAAAAAAAAAAGCAGCCGTGCCGCCCTAGGATTGGGCGGAATGCCGCCCCATAGAATCTGCCGCCCCAAGCCTGGAGCCGGCCCTGGCTGAGAGGCAGATTCAGAGTAGTGAGTAACTGTCCTGGGATGCCCCAGGCAGGCAATATCCTGCTGTTGATTTTTAGACATCTTTTGGCATAGATGCTGTCACGTACCCAATCTGCCCACAATCACTAAACAACTTCCCTGTTCATAATACTCATGCCCACAGAAGTGGGGATGAGCCAGTCAGAATATAGACACAATTTAATTCTACTTTTTAAAAAGGCAAGAGAGAGAGAATTTGGCTGAAGAGATGGGGACTACAGGGCCTAATCTCAGAGGTGCTCAGCACCCACAGATTTCAGCCGAGTTGTGAGTTCTCAAGTACTTCTGAAAATCAAGCCCTGCATATCCTCTGTGTGAAATAACAGAGACAAGGTAGTTTGAGGGGAATTCTAAGGCATTGGACTTTCAAGATCAGGAACTTAAATGTTACTCTACTATGAAGGGGGAAAAAAAGGATATTTTTAAAATTTGTTTCTGTTGGTTTAGTATTTGGCAGCTTGTGAACATAAAGCCAGCATTCATTCTGATCAAAAATAAGAACTGGTACCCTAAGTGAGACAGTTGTCTTTGATACCACATAAATCTATGGAAAATGTGTTTCTGTAGTTCTTTGGGCATATATAATAATTTCTGCTGAAACTCTTTCAGAATCAAAATTTGTACATCAATGTACATAAGAATATAAGAACGGCCGTACTGGCTCAGACCAAAGGTCCATCTAGCCCAGTATCCTGTCTACCGACAGTGGCCAATGCCAGGTGCCCCAAAGGGAGTGAACCTAACAGGTAATGATCAAGTGATCTCTCTCCTGCTATCCATCTCCACCCTCTGACAAACAGAGTCTAGGGACACCATTCCTTACCCATCCTGGCTAATAGCCATTAAGGGACTTAACCTCCATGAATTTATCCAGTTCTCTTTTTAAACGCTGTTATAGTCCTAATCTTCACAACCTCCTCAGGTAAGGAGTTCCACAAGTTAACTGTGCGCTGTGTGAAGAACTTCCTTTTATTTGTTTTAAACCTGCTGCCTATTAATTTCATTTGGTGACCCCTAGATCTTGTATTATGGGAATAAGTAAATAACTTTTCCTTATCTACTTTCTCCACTTCACTCATAATTTTATATACCTCTATCATATCCCCCCTTAGTCTCCTCTTTTCCAAGCTGAAAAGTCCTAGCCTCTTTAATCTCTCCTCATATGGGACCTGTTCCAAACCCCTAATCATTTTAGTTGCCCTTCTCTGAACCTTTTCTAGTGCCAGTATATCTTTTTTGAGATGAGGAGACCACATCTGTACGCAGTATTCAAGATGTGGGCGTACCATCGATTTATATAAGGGCAATAATATATTCTCCGTCTTATTCTCTATCCCCTTTTTAATGATTCCTAACATCCTGTTTGCTTTTTTGACCACCTCTGCACACTGCGTGGACATCTTCAGAGAACTATCCATGATGACTCCAAGATCTTTTTCCTGATTCATTGTAGCTAAATTAGCCCCCATCATATTGTATGTATACTTGGGGTTATTTTTTCCAATGTAGCACTTCAAGTGTTTACCTGACTAGGTTCTAGCCCTGCACTTATTGCCATGGCATCAGGAAGTCTGATGATGGTAAATCTATGTTGGGATGACAATGGGAAAACCATATGTTGGATACAGCCCAGTTCAACATTATTCATTTAGCAGTAGTAATCTCAGCAAGATTGACACCTGTGAAGTTGTTTTAAGGTTTATGTCATCTGTAGGCTGAAGCCATAAAAGGATTACATGATGATGCATATTTGACCAGGTCTGATATTTTAGCCAGTAGAGGGCAGTAGCAGTGCATTCACATTGTGTGATGACAGCATATTGCTACAGGGATTGTATGTCTATGGTTGTTTTCATTTTGTTGGGCCCCATCCCCAGAGCAGAGAGAAGACAGAAAGGGATGGTGAGGACCTAAGAGTTTTCAGATTTCAACAGCACACTTCTTGCTTCCCTAACCAGGAGAACACGTAAAAGAACAGGGCATTTAGCACAAATGTATTCGCTTAAGTGTTCTCTATAGTACATGATCCATGAGAATGTATTAAGGGTCTGAGTCTACAAGGTGCTGAGTCAGTGGAAGGTGAGGGCACTCATCATCTCACTGGATCATGGCCTAACTCGGTAGATTTTTCTTAGAGTTGACAGATCTTAAGCTGTTAAAATGATCCTGATACTGTCATAATTTCAGATAGAGCCTTTATTTTTTCCCTTCTTTTTGGTATACTTCTATTTTGCCTGTAACACAGTTTGTTTTATTTGTTTCTTCAGCAGATAATTTGTGTAGCAGACTTCCTGTTTTTATTTTCTGCTGGTACATAGTTTCACAAAAGTGCATTTTAGGCAATCTGTTAATTCCTGTGTCATCATACCCTTAAGAATAAATGCTGGTTGTACTGTGGTTGCCTTTGTATCTTTTCCTTTTTACTGCTGTGGAGACTTTTTGTAAACTTTTTCTTTAAAGTCGGTGCTTTATTTATTCCTTCCTCTTTTCTCTCTAAAAGCAGCTGCTATTATTTGCTGTTGGTATCCACTTTTGCTCACATCCATTTACAATAGTTAAGCTCTTAAAAGGATTCTTTAATGGCACTTATATTTTTGCATCTGGGTCTCCTGGAAGAAAATCAAGTGCTCACAGCTGAGTAGCTATTCAAGGTGTTATCTATGATGCCTTGTCAATGACCTGGTATTGGAGAGTCCTTTTTACGAGAAACAGGCTTTAATGATTCTGAACGTTAGCATTTGTGGTAGAAATGAATGTTTCGGAGTAGTACTTTGGAAAGCAATATATCTTCATGTAGAACACCTGGCTTCTTTTATATGTAATTCATTTCCCTTGCATCTTGCTAGGTAAAATGTGTGGAGATTAGGGGTGGCTGAAATATTTTTTTCTCATCTGCCTGGTTTCAGAGATCACCAGCTTCCATTGGACATGGAGAATGGTCCAGCTCTCATATGAGAGCTTAGTTCAGTGTGTGGCATGGGGCAGCGTGCAGGGGACGGCAATGTTGCTGCCTAAGCTATGGCTATTCAGATGATAAAGGCTGGACACAGTCTCCTGAGATGTCAGTTGGCACCTTTCATGAGCACCAAATTCACTAAAGCATTCTTCTAATGTTAAATATTGGTAATGGGTTTTGTTTTACACTTTTAAGCAACCAAACAGCTTTATAAACAAGTCTTTGTAAAAAGGAATGCACTTTGACAACCTCCCCTGCCCCAGCTAAGCCATCTTCCCATTCAAACAGCCACTTTTTATTGCTAAACACCTTGCCAAAGGAAATGTCCCCTTTGTTCCTTAAATGTGACTTACCATGACCACCTGAAAAGAATTATACCTCCCTGAGACCCAGGCTTCCTGCACCGGTAACTTGTTGAAGGTCTGATGTCTCATGACCCTGTGGGGTGTGAAACTGGAGTTTTATGCCCGTGGCAAGGGGGGATTACTGGATTTCCAAAGGGATAAATAGCACGTACCAATTGGCTCCCCTTAGTTGTGGGATGGTGGCTGGTGTTGGGCTATCTGGCTTACCCTTGAAGATACTGGTTAAAAGATATATGAGTAAAGAATCTCTGTCCCATTGTCATTAGCTACTTCTGCTGAAATGAAACTCTATAGCCAGACTGTAGTATTAGTCTGAATGAATACTGATATCTAATGAATATACTCCTTTATTTTGTTACTTTCTCAGAGCAGCCACATTCGTTCATTGCCAGTCTGGATGCTACTAACCGTGCTGGTAACATAGATTAGGAACATAAAGAGCTCACCCCGACCCATCAACTCTGGTAGGAGATGAAGGAGCTCAACAGCTCACAAGTGGGCGTGGGACTGGTGCTGAAATTTGGTTTTACTTAAAATGAGCTGCATAACTATGAGCCAAGGAAATACAAGGGGTGTAAGATGTACCCGATTTATTGCCCAGCTCTGCTCCCATGGTTGAAAGTCTTGTAACTGTTTTGTCATTGGTTAGTTTTGCCAACATAAAAATAATTTAAAAAAACCTCTGCCCTTTAGAGGATTTATTTCATATGTATGATATAATGTTGGGAAATAGAAATACAGCTGCCAAGTATGCAGTGTAGCTCAGAGATAAAGGGCTTGCCTATCTTGAGACCTCCTCCTCTCTCCAGGATAGTCCCTGGAGGCTGAGATTAGCTGGGATGTTTGAGTTGACAATCTCTGCATTAAACATTGGGGGCTGAAGGCAGGTGGGCTCAGAGCAGGGGGCTTTCTACTCTGGAACTTGTTACTTTCCTTGGGCTAACACTGAACACTTCGCAACCAGAACTGCAATTTTCCTTTTCTCCGCTGACCCCTCCCATTAATTATATAACACTGCTTCATGGTGGTTTCAGATTGTAACAGTTCTGTCTTTTTGTTTGTTAGTTTGTTCACAGTTTTCTAGAGGAGTTTATGCCATCTTTGGATTCTATGACCAGATGTCCATGAACACACTGACATCATTTTGTGGAGCTCTGCACACGTCCTTTGTCACACCCAGCTTCCCAACAGATGCAGATGTGCAGTTTGTCATTCAGATGCGGCCAGCGTTAAAAGGAGCCATCCTGAGCCTTCTGACTCATTACAAATGGGAAAAGTTTGTATACCTCTACGATACAGAAAGAGGTAAGAACCATCCTTTTAGGAGGCTTTCTATTATCTAACTTGCTGGAAGTATTAATGTAACCAATGTCAGGCAATGCATCCCTGGTTGCTTTTGAACACAAATCGTTCTTTCTGAGTGATTGTCCTAGAAAACAAAAGGTTCAAATATGTTTGCAGGAGGAATAACTTAATGCTGTAAGCATTAGTTTTGGAATACCAGCGTTCCCTGGAACCAAAGGTTTAAATTCTGGTAGGGTTGCTGACTCCTTCCAATGTAGAGAAGGTAAACACCATGCAGTTTATTGTTACACAAGACCTGTTACACAATAAACACATAATGCACCACAGCCCACTTCTTCGGATGCATAGAATGGAACATATATTGAGGAGATATATATACATGTATGTTCCAACCTACATGTGTATATATATCTCCTCAATATATGTTCCATTCTATGCATCCGAAGAAGTGGGCTGTAGCCCATGAAAGCTTATGCTCAAATAAATTTGTTAGTCTCTAAGGTGCCACAAGTACTTCTGTTCTTTTTGCGGATACAGACTAACATGGCTGCTACTCTGAAACCTGACATAATGCACTGGTATTGAAGATCCCATAGTGCTTTTCATAACTATGTGCTTGTGCCCTGAAATTGGACAAAAGTAATGCATGTTTTCCCACTTGGCTGCCACACTACACCCCAGAGGGGGCTGCACTTCAGTGCCGTGGTAAGCATATAATTGATGAAATGTTTTGAGGTTTTTGGGATGAAAAGTACTGCACAGATGTGTAGCATAGAGTGTCAGCGAGTAACTGGACATGTATATGGATAACAAGAATATCTGGAGTTATGATAGCTAATACTAAAAATAAAATGGAAGGGATATTAAACCTCATGCTTAAGGTCGTAAATCAGCCTTTAACTTTTATGAATTAGGATGAGATTGTTTCAGGGGGGTGGGAGCAGATTATCCCACATCTATCTGTTGTAGGGGTTTCTCTGAAATATCTGATGTTGGCCATTGATAAGATACTGAATTAAATGAGCCACAGGTCTGATTCAGTACAGGAATTCCTGTGTAACATTTTATTGTAATGAACTAGTAATGTGTATGTGTACCACTGCCCTCCTTTGCATAGATTCAGAACAGATAACTGTGGGCCCTATGCCCTACATGGCTCATGGAGATTCTCCTTTAGTTTAAATAGTAGGGGATGTCACTTTTGGAGCAAAAGGATCTGGGTTCCATCGTTGCCATGAAGTTCTGAGGGGCTTGGTGTACAGCAGAGTGACAAAGGTCAAGTCCCAAGAGGCCACATTTGACCTGTTATTACTAAATGGATTTGTGCAAAGTTTTTTCATGATGTTTGGTGCAGCTAAAGGTTGGGCAGACATTTTGTGTAGACCAACATTTTAAAAACATGGGACTGAACGTGCGGAGAGACAGAAGAGCGCTGATAGATTTTGGGAAGCATAGATCATGGTAAAGTTGAAATGTACTACTAATCTGTGAGATCAAGTAGAAATACATGGGGAATTCAAGAATTCTCTGCAGTTGAGAATGCTGGTAGTTTTAAAACTTTTGAGACGCACTGCACAAACTTCTATGTCTCTGATTTAATTCAGTATATGAAACTACCATGTGTATTTTTAGTTGAACTCTAAGGTGACCATAATGTCTTTTATCTAAGAACCAAATGAACAATATCAACAAATGATCATTACAAAATGGTATTTAATATTTTCTAGGGTAAAGTGACCTGAAAGAATTAAGATGAACATGTTTTACTGAGAGAAAGAAACACATTATTGCTCCAAGTTCATGATTAGCAATGATTGAAAGCCAAAAGGTTTGGGGATTTGATTTAGTTTGGAAAATCATCCATATGTGTGGAGCCTTCTCTAAACCTTTTTGCTATACTGTGAAAAGGTGTGTATTTTAACATGTTAATGTGTAAAATTCTAGTGAATACAAGGCAAATTGTTGTTTTAACATGAGTTGGCTGGTCATGGTAAACTGTAGGGGAGGTTCTGAGGTTTACCTTGACCAGCAAACACACGTTAAAACTACAACTTACCTTGTCTTTGCAGAGATTTTAAACATGTTAAAAACACACCTTTTTCCTAGTGAAAACGAGGCCTAGGAGTCTGGGTCCAGCTCTGTTATGCTTTCCCCCTACAGTTGTCATGTTGAACCCAGCTCTCTGCCTCTTCATTTATATCCTCTTAATAGATCCTTACAGTTGTTTTTGACAATCCCATTATGAGCCCAGCAGTCCCGGCTAGCGTGGATTTCATATTTCATGTACCTTGGTGGTATGCACATGAAAGCATGTGGGAAATTTGAATTCAAGGACAGCAAAAGGCCAGTGAAGAGCCTACGGGAGTTATTGGAGTATCGGGGGTGCTCTTCCAAGATGAAGGAAGACTCTGTGTCTTTGGTTAGCTTGTATGGATGGAAGAGATGTTAGTACTTATTGGAGGATTGCAGGGTTGGCAGAGTAGGCAAAGAGAAATCCTTCTCTCACTGAATCTGGGCCTGGGGAAAGGTTTTGGTTGGTTCTGGTGTGTGGCGAGACCAAAGCCTGGGATTGTTCTTTCTTTGCCTTCTATTACGTATGTCCTCAGCCACCCTTGTTAGATAAAGTATCAACTTCATGTTCAAACAGGAACCAAAACACTTTGATCCTGTGTGTTTAGTCTAGTGAAAACAACCTCAGTGTTTGTATCATTGTTATTGACGTTAAAATTACTGTATTTTTTAAAAAAACATGAGAGTAAATTAGAAGCAGGTCATTATCCAATGAGAAGTTGACATTAAATACCATCGCCTGATGAGCTGACAGCACCTGAAATATTTGGCTGTTTCAGAAGCCTGCCTAATCTATTGTGATGGGTCTTCAAATAAGAGAGCATCTCAAGAGCCTGAACAATTATAATGGTGAATGGCTGCTTGCACCGGGTAGTGAATGAAAGACTTACCTATGCCTGTGCTGAGATTCCATTGAAAATGAAAACATTGGAGCTGTCATACTTTTTCATAATTTATACCATAGATCATCAACTGCTTTGGGACATAAATACGATAGAGAGAAAATGTTGAGCAATTTGCTGTCAGTTCCTGAAATAAATTATCATTTAAATACCTCCTCTCTATAAAGGTTATTATCTTACTGGCTTGTTCTTAGAATTGGACTACCTGCGAGAAATCACAATACATTAAGCTATTCCTTCATATGTTTAATATTAGTTACTGAGCAAATTGTTCTTGCGGGTAGTTTTACTGTATTCTGCTGAAGCAAGACACTGCTAGCTATTAAGCTTTGCATTTACTATTAATAAATACTGTAGCATATTACAGATGTCAGACAAAACTGAAGAAGCCTACCTGTGATTTTATGTCATTTACTGAACTACTTCAAGCTAAGCCTCTGAGAGTCAGCTTTCCTATGAAACTGTTTTCCTTAAGCAGTGATTTTTTTTTCTTCTTCACCCCACAGTATAATCATATAGTTAACCCTTTGACATCAATAGACATGACATCATGATTTCATGTCTCTTGTGATGCAGAGAACAAAGATGCATCCTAAACAGAGTAAAGTTGAGAAATACAATAAAATAGACAGACAGTAATGCTTCTAATTCTGCAAGTAATTGTGTGTGCATTTCATAGCATTTAGACACCTAATTACCTTATTTATTTTCTGAGGTGGCTAAGTGCTATCAATTGCACCCACAAATATTTACATAATAGATGCAAAATCTGATGCCATTTCTCAAAAGTGGGAGCTATGCTGCTAAATCAGATAACAAAATCTAAGAAAATACAAGGCGCCCAAAATCCTGCAGCAGAAATGAAAACATTTAAAATCTGTCTCAGGATTGATATTGTTAGTGGTTTGACTTATATTGCAGTAAAACCCTTAAATATGAGTGACATTTAAACTCACATGATCTTCTCCTAGTAACAGTTGAAAAAAATTATGCTTTATGGGAAGTCATGGTACATTAGAAAAAATCTGTTAAGGGGGGAAAAAAAGACAATCAGCAATGGATAGTAAAGGAAATGTGTCAGAATATTCATTCTATGCCAAGTACCTCATTTCCTTCAAAGGGGAAAAGGCAGGGTTAATTTCTGTTTGGATTAACTCAAATCAATGAATCGACACTGTCAGTTGCTGTCCTGCTTTTATATTGCACACAAAATATCTGATTAATTAGCTGGTGCTAAATGCCTCAGTAGGCTTCTCTGCAGTAGAACTAAGGCTAATTAAGATCATGTCAGGATGAAATGATGACAAGGTTACAGGCAGAAAGCCATTCTGAACTCAGATAGCACGCCTCAAGAAAGCCACCTTTATGTATTTCATGTTGAGGATTATTTTTCATTCTAAGCATCATGTTTGTTTCCAGTCTTAGGGCCTGCTTCTCCTCTCAGTTACACTGGCATAAATCAGTAGTTATTCCATTGAAGTCAGTTGGGCTTACACTGGTGTAAAACTAATGTAAGTGAAAGAAGATTCAGGCCTTTGCATTTCAGATTCTCCCTTAATTTCATGTGAGAGCTACATGTCTCTTTTGTTTAATTATACAGCTCATGTTGTGGATTGTATTACTGAAACTTTTGTTTAATCTGAATTTTTAATAGGCTTCTTAACTAATGTTTCATTTTATGTTTTGCGTCAGAATCACTTTTTTTTGTATAGTTGGTTTGTTCTCTAAAAGCCTCCAAATGACACATGCATTTTTGACCTAAGAGCTCACCAGATTTGACACTTAACTATGTAAAAGTATATTTTTAACATAGAGATGGCGCACTCAAAAATTACCATAAACTTTTTTGGCACAAACATATTTATTTATATCATGCAACTCACTCAGAATCAAGTCATACGGAATAACCTATGTACATGTGGGTGTATCCCTTGCTCCCTTCTTTGGAGGACACTGGTCAGCTTAGAATGCAAGCTCTTTGGGGCAGAGACACTGTCTTCCTTTGTTTGTATAGTGCCTTGTAGCACA